AGTTCAACAAGGCCAAGTGCAAGCTCCTGCAAATAGGTCGGGGCAATCCCAAGCACAAGTACAGGCTGCTGGGCAGAGAATGGATTGGGAGCAGCCCTGAGGAAAAGGACTTGGGAGTGCTGGTGGATGAGAAGCTCAACATGAGCCGGCAATGTGCACTGGCAGCCCAGAAAGCCAACCGTATCCTGGGCTGCATCAAAAGGAGTGTGGCCAGCAGGTCGAGGGAAGTGATTCTGCCCCTCTACTCTGCTCTCGTGAGACCCCACCTGGAATACTGTGTTCAGCTCTGGAGTCCCCAACACAAGAAGGACATGGAGCTGCTGAAGCAGGTCCAGAGGAGGGCCACAAAGATGATCCGAGGGCTAGAACACCTCTGCTATGCAGACAGGCTGAGAGAGTTGGGGCTGTTCAGCCTGGAGAAGAGAAGGCTCTGGGGTGATCTTCTAACAGCCTTCCAGTACTTAAAGGGGGCCTACAGGAAAGCTGGAGAGGGACTTTTTACAAGGGCATGTAATGATAGGACAAGGGGCAATGGCTTTAAACTGAAAGAGGGCAGATTTAGACTAGATATAAGGAAGAAATTTTTCACTCAGAGGGTGGTGGAACAGGTTGCCCAGAGAAGTTGTAGATGCCCCATCCCTGGAAGTGTTCAAGGCCAGGTTGGATGAGGCTTTGGGCAACCTGGTGTAGTTGAGGGTTTCCCTATGTCTGTGACTTCTGTTCCAGGCCTCCCTTAGTTTATTCATATCTTTCAGGAAAACATTCGGTCTACATTCAAAAGCTAATCCAAGCTCCTATTTACTACTAAATACTCAAGATCCATCTATGTCTCACAAAACTTAACTAGTGACTGTAAGTTTCTGGACATGCATCCCTATTTCGATGCACGGGGCCAGCTGCGAAAGATAACCAAATAAAAGCAGTGGCTTTATGCACAGATTACACTACATTTCCTACCATAACTACTACTCATGTTACAATAGCATAACTATTAGAACAGATTTGGCATATTAACCATGATGTTATTTGTCTCACACTAAAAATTCTAGCTACGATGCAAGTGGCAGCAAGCACTATACCTATATTAATATTCTTCTTTTTGTGACCTTTGGTAGCACTTCATTTCAGTATGAGGAGTGGTGGGAAACTTTAAGGGGAAAAGGGTAACTAAGACAAGGCAACTGTCTGCCCTTGTAGTTTGCAATCGACTTAAAAGAGCCACTTCAGGTCATGAGAAATTTCAAGATGACAACTCTTTCATAGTTCTCTTCCCACGGTCAGAAAAAAATACCACATGGAAAAGAAATACGCCATGAAAAAACTACTCTTTC